CTGGGATTCCATGCCTCAGTTTCCCTAGGGGGTAAGGAGGCAGATCCCCCTCACAGGCCTATTAGTCCGACAGCATGTGCACGGCCCTTCCCTGAAGTATAGGAAGGTCACAGGGCTAGTGTGTTGTTAAGCATGTTTCAGTGTTGCAAATTTGTCACAGCCACTGGCTCACCCAGGGGAAGGGAATTCTGCCAGGGGAACACGGAGCAGAGGACTCCTCGCAGGCATGGCCCTTTCGTACAAAGGGGAACAATTTGGGATGGACCAACTCCAAACACTTTCCCCCGTACCTCCTTAATGTGGACACCAGCTAAGCACAGCCCCTACTTCACCGAAACTGAGGCACACAGGAGAAGTGATTTGCCCAAGATCACACAGGAAGCCAGTGACAGGGCTGGGATTAGAACCCAGGACTCCTGGCTCCCCTGCCCTAAACCCCGCTCTCCTCCCAGAGCTGGGAACAGAACCCAGGAGTCCCCATGCCCGTTCCTATCCCCCTTGGACAGCACGCTGCTTGTGGGCTTTTAAGCCTCCTGCCCTGGTGCAAAGCGGCTGCTCTGTGCTGCCCCTCGCCCCACACTAGGGGGCGCTTGGAATCTCTCTGGCTCCATAACTGGGAAAAAGCCCCATTGAAGGCAGCTGTCTGGGAGACTGGACTCAGATCACTTCTGGGGGGGGATCCCTGGTTTCCCCTTCCCCACTAAGCCCAGCTGGGGCCAGCGCCCAGGTGCAAGGGGGAGGGCTCTTGTTGTGAGAAAGGGGCCCAACGCAAGCCCTGGGGGCCAGGCTCGCACCCCAGCTGCTGCAGGCAGAAGGCCTGGGGGGGGGGGAGGAACTTTCCCACGCTTGGCATGGAGGGTCTCCCCAGGGAAAAGCCCAGCAGGTGCCCTCCATGACCGATCACCTCGCGGATGATTTCTGGGGGGACCTGCATTCCTGTGTTCCGGTGGGAGCTGATCTCCTGGGTCAGCGGGTGACTCACTGCTGTGCCAGAGCTGGGAACCCAGCGAGGTCTCCGCCCTTTCCCACAGAAGGGGGCCGGTGCTGGCCTGCTCTATTCAGCATCGCTCTGAGGAATGCACAGACACCGCCCCCAGCAGTGTGGGGCAGGGCTCTTACTTCTCCAGAAGACTTAGGGGGGCATGGGCATGGGAGGTAGTCTCCCCAGCCGTACAGGGAACAAGCAAGCCGCTGGGTGTGGTGCTCCTGTCACGGGACTGGCATGGGACAGGGAGAAGGGATGGTGGGAGACAGACAATTAGCAGAAACATCCTGGCAACCAGGCCATGAGCTTACAAGGGTGAGGGGTTCGGTGCTGTTGAGGTTTGGGGGCTAGGGGCCGCTGACCCACAGAAAAATCAGTCAGGAGTTGGGGGCTGCACACAAGTGAGAAGCAAAAAAAACACCAAAAAATTCCCCCAACCCCTCACTGACGTGACCCCCGACTGAGGAGAAAGACCCTCCCCACATTCCCCTCCCATACCAGAGCCTGGGGGGGGGGGGGCGGGGGGCCGCATTTTGAGTGTTCCAGCCCCATGGAGGGTGGCCGGAGAATCAGTACAAGCTCCCCAATGCTCAGGCAGGGGAGTCCTTTGCCTTGGGGGCCAGATCCAGGCAAGCCAGGGGCCACATCTGGGTCCCCAGGCCTTAGGATCCCCACCCTCTACACTCTTGCCACTGGTTTTTCACCTGGTTTCTGCAGCATCGAGCAGGCCGGCGGGGGTGTTCCAGCCCCATGGAGGGTGGCCGGAGAATCAGTACAAGCTCCCCAATGCTCAGGCAGGGGAGTCCTTTGCCTTGGGGGCCAGATCCAGGCAAGCCAGGGGCCACATCTGGGTCCCCAGGCCTTAGGATCCCCACCCTCTACACTCTTGCCACTGGTTTTTCACCTGGTTTCTGCAGCATCGAGCAGGCCGGCGGGGGAGAACCCCAGCCCCTCTGGCTCTGCAGAATGAGCCAGAAACCCAGGCAGCTCCAGTAGAGGGGACCAGATGCCAGCACTGCTCTTGCAGCACCAGGCATCTGGCAGCTGCCTGGATCTGCCTGCAGTGTGATCCTCCGGGCCGGGGAGCCAGGCCGCCTTAGTCTGTGTTGCCAAGATTAGACATCTACCTGGCAGCCAGGGCTGGGGGGGACGGGGAGGAAAACAGAGGAGTTTTGTGGGGTGAATTTTGCTCTTTGCTCCACAAGGATCCACATGGGTATGGCTGGGCGGGAATACCTCCCTACACACCCGGCACTCTGCCGTGACTGGGCTGTACAACGTACAACCCGGTGGGCACCATGAGAAAGCTCAAGCTTTCTACCAACATCCGACTCAGTTTGCACACGCTGGAGTCGGTCGGAGGTCTCTGAGCATTGGTCTCCACTAGGACTTGATTGCAAAATAACCCCCCTTAGGTCGGATTGCCAGGTGTCCGGTATTCTACCGGACAGTCCGGTATTTGTGCTCTTTGTCCGGTAAAAATATCAGAGAATACCGGACACGTGCAATGTCCGGTATTCTCTGATTTTTCCGGCTGTGCACTGGACGGAAGCCTGGCGTGGGCCGGGGGGGGGGAGCGGCTGGAAGGCGGGGCCACGATAGGCCCAGCCACGCCCCCCCGCCAGACTTCCGCTCAATCACAGGCTCCCAGCGCTGATGACAGCCCCGCCTCCCAGCCTGGGAGTACCAGCCACTCGCCCCACCCCCACAAGGCTTCTGAAGCGCCCAGAGCGGCAATCGAGGCCCCGCCTCCCAGGTGGGGAGTCCCAGCTGGCCCGTTTGTGGCCCCGCCTCCCAGCCTGGGAGTCCCAGCTGGGAGGCGGGGTTGCGATCACTGCTCTGGGTGCCCCGGAACGGGAGGGAGGGGGAGTTATTATTCCACGTTCCTTTTTTTTTTTTTGTTCGACTAAAAAATACTGCGTGTCCGGTATTTTTTGGGAGACCATCTGGCAACCCTACCTTTCGGTCGGATTTATAAGCGGAGCGTCCGCACAACCAAGCCCGTTACTTTGAAAGAACAGGCCGCGGAATGCCAAATCCGTATCCTGCTTTTCATCTGGAGGAACGCCGATTCCGAAAGCGTTATTTTGAAATAACGGTCATGCGGACGCTCCGGTGCCGTTATTTCGAAATAACGACTCCCCAGAGTCATTCGAACAAGTGACTCTCCAGAGTTCCTGGGGCGCTACGTCCGAGGTGGCGGGACCACATTAACAGAGCCCGCCTGGGACTCATTACACGGCGTCCCCGCAGCGAGGACACGCTATGTCAAGCGTGTGAAATCAGGAGTTATAAAGTCGAGTTAGTAATTTTGAAATCGTTTCCTAGTGTGACGAACCCGCACCGCAAAAAGTTGAGCTCGGCAGAATGCAAAGGGGGACGGACAGGCCTATGGGGCAGTCGCTGGGCTGAGGAGGGAGCCAGCCGAGGGGGGCAGAAGGAAGCTTTGCCAGGCAGAAGGGAGAGCGGCACAAGCGATTCTGGGATGAAGGGCTCGGAAGACGGGGTGGGGGAGCCAGGACGGAGGGGGCAAAGCCCCAGTTCCTGCACCTGCAGGTCTCTCTTCCGCTGCTAAAGCCATGGGTGGGTGTGTCACCAGGCCAGAGCGTGCCGGGCAGCAAGGCCTGGGCTTGCATTTAGCAAGGACCCTGAACTGCTGTGGGGCTGGGTCCTGCCAGGGTCATTTACCAGAGCAAGCAGTCCAAGCCGGGTGCCGGCCACGGAAGGCTGGATTTGTCCCAAGGGCAGACTAGCCATGGATCTCAATCCTCAGTCCTGGGCAGCCACTCAGAGAGCTGCTCAGTCCAGGTTCGATCGCTAGGAGCAGTGAGGGCCAAGGGTTAGAGCAGGGGCAACGTGAGGCTGGGGGGAACCAAGTCGCTTATGGCTAGCTCCAGGCTGGGCTGGTATTGAGGGCCAGAGTCAGGAGGCAAAGTCCTAACCAAGCCACGGTCGAGCCAGAAATTCAGGAACAGGCCTGGCGGCAACAGATTCACACAGTTGCCCAGACAGTTCCTAGACTGCCCCTTGGGTTTATACGGGGCAGGGAATGCCCAGGAGCCAGGCAGCTGCTGCTTGACAAACCCTGGAGGCAGAATGTCCCATGGGCTGTGTCCACACGGGTGCTGGGAAGTGGGATGCAAGCTGTATACAGCTGCTGCTGGCTGCCAGTTTGGTGCTGCTAAGTGCCTGGTAGCTCCGTAGGCCTGAGCTCTAAAGCTGTGGATCCTTACAGTGTACGTGTCTTACCCCATTCCACCTCATCCGTTGCAGGATGAAGTGAAGCTCCCGGCCAAGCTGAGCATCAGCAAGTCTTTGAAGGAGACAGAGAAGGAAGAGGAGGGCGAGGAGGTGCCTGGCGAGGAGGAGCACGCAGACGAGGACCGAATCCAGCTCTCGTCAGATGAGGAGGTAGAAGTGGAAGAGATCATTGAGGAGTCCCGAGCAGAGCGGATCAAGAGAAGTGGCATGAAGAAGGTGGACGACTTCAAGAAGGCTTTCTCCAAGGAGAAGATGGAGAAAACCAAGCTCAAGACCAAGGAGAATTTGGAGAAGACCAAACACAACTTGGAGAAGACCCGGCACAACCTGGAGAAGAGGATGAACAAGCTGGGTACTAAGATCGTGACCACCGAGAGGAGGGAGAAGATGAAAACCTCTCGGGACAAGCTGAAGAAGTCCTTCACCCCCGACCACCCCGTCTACGCCAGGTCCAAGACGGCAGTCTACAAGGTGCCACCCTTCACCTTCTACGTCAAGAAGATCAGAGAGGGCGAGGTGGAGGTGAAAGCCACGGAGATGGTGGAGGTGGGAGGAGAGGAGGTGGAGAACACGGAGCTGCTGAGAGAGGAGAGCCCAGAGATGCACACACTGCTGGAGATCACGGAGGAATCGGATGCCGTGCTGGTGGACAAGAGCGACAGTGAGTAGGACAGGCGGCGGTGCGGGATGGATGGCTGAACACCTACCCTTTCACACTGCAAGATCTCTCTTTGCCCCAAGTGTCTCTGGAAGTCCGCGCCGATCCCCCGCCATCCCGGACGAGGTGTCGTTTCTATTTTAGTTTTAGCACACAGAAGAGAGAAGGAACCCAGCGGAGCGGGAGTGTGCTAAAACCAAGGTAACGGCTGCACACCTGGGAACATCCCTCTTCGCAGCTCTCCCAGACCTGACGTCTCGAACGCTTTTTGCCTGGCAAACTGCCCAACGCTGGAGATCCCCCTGTCCGGTGGGCCACCCGAGCAGCCATCCCCACCAGCAGACAGAGGCGAGAAGGCAGGAGCCCAGCTGGCTAACGCAGGGGAGTGTGCTAAAACCAAGGTAACGGCTGCACACCTGGGAACATCCCTCTTCGCAGCTCTCCCAGACCTGACGTCTCGAACGCTTTTTGCCTGGCAAACTGCCCAACGCTGGAGATCCCCCTGTCCGGTGGGCCACCCGAGCAGCCATCCCCACCAGCAGACAGAGGCGAGAAGGCAGGAGCCCAGCTGGCTAACGCAGCAGGGAGAACGCCGGCTCCCGGGGCCACTCGGATTGGAAGATCTCCAGTGCAACGTGGATCTCTGACATGTCTTAGCATGTGGTGCGGGAAGGGGCAAGCAGATCCCACGGATGGGCTGAGCAGGGGGAGGATGTGCAATGCCGCATGGGGCCGGGAGGGCCTCCCTGCCACTTCCTGACCCCAGAGGTTCAAGGAGTTAATGGTCCAGTGAATGGAGAAGGTGTCCGCGTACAGCACTCGGCTCCTGCAGGCACCC